CTTTAGTATCATTTTTTTTTTTGAATGCAGATTACATCCTATTGCAAAAGTATAGTTGATGGGGAGAGGTTAGAGACAAAAAAAAAAAAAAAATCCAACCTTGTAACTTCTTTAAGCTAGATTCTTTGATTTCCAGGAGGTTCGGAGCTCTTTTAAATAAACTAAAGCAACTATTCTAAGTCACTCCTGTGACATGACTTTTTAAAAATGCCTTTTTATTTTCAGGTATTTTAGAAGCATTAAAGTTCAGAGGAATGTGTATTTCTGGGTTGCTGGTACAATTCTGGCCCCAGCTTTATCATTCTGTTCCTTTCCCTGTGTTTACAGCTCTTGAGCCATATAGACCTTCTTTCTGTTCTACAAACACAAGCTTGCACACCTGGTTTACGGCCTTTTGCACTTGCTAATCCTTCTGCCTGTAATGCTCTCCCCCAACATCTTTGTATGGCTACCTTCTTGACATGTTTCCTCTCATATGTCTCTTCCCCAGAGATGAGGCTCAGTTATTTTCTAACCTCTTACCCTACTTTATACTTTATACCGCTTAATCATGTCTTTACATTGTTTTTAAATATATTTGTTTACTTATGTATGCTTCTCTCCCTAAAATGTAAGTTCTTTGAGTTTACCCTGGTATCTCTGATGTGAGGAACAGTGTATAGCACTTAATTAAGAACTCAATACATTTTATGCACTGATGTTAATAAGGTCATTGATTGATTAACTGACTGAATTCAGAGGATGCATTAAATAATCAGTTTCTAAAAGATTAAAAAATAATCAAATGTACTGTGATTAATAATGAATTTGCCTTTGCTCTAGAATATTAGATGGACAAGTTTCCTTTTCACACCAAAACTATGATTCTGAATTATCCAATCATTGAATATTTAAATATAAGTTCTAAGCTACTTGATAACCCAGGTAAAAGCATTCTCAGAATAGAGGACTCTAGACTTATGATTTCTTGGACTACCAACTTCTTAATAGCATCCAAGTTATAAATTGCAGACTTAATAGTTTTAAATTTTTGCTTTTTTTCACATCATAGTATCATATTTATTATAAGAGCTTCTTAGAGCAAATTCAAATATAAGGATAAGGTTTAATTACCTTGGGTATAATAGATTTTTAAAATAACAGCTTTATTTAGATATAATTCATA